AATAATAATAATAGTAATAACAATCACAATAATATTCAGCTGAATCCGACGCAATCGTTGAAACACGAAGAACAGAGTTTCAAATTAAAATCTTATGGTTTCCGTCGCAAATGCCGCATTCCAACGTAACCATCTTAATTGATTTAGCTCCTTGTTCTCAGGACACAAAGATAATGATTCCTTCGGATGTTCCCACAATCAATTATTTGTAATTATTCCCACGTTTAACGATTCACAGCGAAGTGAGGAAAAAGAATGAACACGAAACAATGAATTGAAACTGTTTTACCCGCTTTCTATTTTGTTGGTTCGAACGGGCTGATTATAATTTTGTGGGACGTTCGATTTGCAGGTGCTTTGTCTCGCTTGCGTGGTGGCGCTTAGGGTGACCGACGACGAGAGCCGGAGGGTGTTCCATTTTTTGAGGAGTCGGAGCAGGGAATGGTCCCTTCTGAATAACGTCACATGGGGTGCAATAGGTTCGAACCATTTTATGTCGTTTTATTTTATATTCAGTTATTTTATACTCCTTTACTTTGTATTCGTTTACCTTGTATTTATTTATTCTATATTCATTTATTTTATTACTTTCATCGATGAATGAGCATATTACTTGTATGATGAGATAAGTTATTGCGTTATGTCTTTTCGATCTACTGTTCAAAATATGTGCAATATGTTGAAACATTTTTATTCAATCTTATGTCGTGCTCTATTAATTTATCTCATTACTTTTATGAACGAATAAATTCATATTCATGTTACATTACATGGAACATGAAATATTGAAGAATTCGATAAAAATGTAACAATGTTTTATGTTCGTACGTAAATTAAAGAATTTTCTTTTCGTAAAAATGGAGAACGAAATGTCTCATTAGAGCACTTTCGTTACTAATTGCTCTTGCATTCAGTGAACTTAAATCTGATATTCCAAATCACCCATGTATCACAGCATTCATCTGCTTTCTAAAGATAAGGAAATGAAAGTCCACGTTTTTATTTGCTCAGTAATTACACCCCATTACTTGATAATCTATCGCCATTACGAATAAATCAGGTGAGCACCGAGAGGAATAAAAACATTCATCAACGAAGACTTCCTTTTACCTTCCCTAGACTTAAATAACAGAAAAAGCAAGTCGACATTGAACCGATGAGCTGCACTAACAAAACAATTCAGAGCAAACGGTGCAAACGGCTCTATAAAACAGTGATTAATGGACTGCGGGTTTTATGCGTTTATAAGTAAAATGGTAACGTGAAACGAAAACGAAGGAGAATGTAATGACATAGGTGTGTTATTTTTACTATGGCGGTCAAGTTTCACATTTCTTATTAAAAAATTGTTGGAATTATAGAGAAAATAATTCGTTAACTTTTGTAGAAAATAATTCGTTAACTTTTGTAGAAAATAATTCGTTAACTTTTGTAGAAAATAATTCGTTAACTTTCGTAGAAAATAATTCAACAAATTTCGTAGAAAATAATTCAATAAATTTCGTAAATCAAGCGTACGTGATGATAAAAATGTTGAAATTCAGTCTTGTTGTTCTAGTAAACGCGTCACGCGTCAGTTACTCTTAGTGCTCGGTAGGTTTAGCGTTAAATAATTAAAACAATCCAGGGAAATGCCTTTAATTCTCATTTCTTGAATTTGACGAAAATTCTTTTCCTTTGGAATAAAGATCCGCAGTCTATTCGAATTAATTCTGTAAAATTAAGAAGAAAGCGATCACTGCAGTTTATGGTTCTACAGTATAGTGACTTTTGTTAATACAGGCGCCGCTCTAGCAACTGCGACTTGTGGTGGTTACATAATAATTACGACGGGCCTTCTCATTGCCGCTGCCACGGGAGAACTCACTGGTCGGAAGACGGTAATTCTTTTCCATTTTCGTTTCTCTCTTTTTCGTCTGCCGGTTGCAACACGGACGAGAATTCGTAAATTGCGTACCCTAGGAATTCTGAAGCTCTGCCACCTTAACAATCATACGAGACCTTGCAGTCCCTAATAGACCTATTGTTTCAGCTCCTGGAGACGTTCTTTCCCCTTTACGGAACACGGTGTCCTTCGACGACACTGATTCTTATCGGGTCCCGGTATCCTCTTATCGAACGCTGCAGCGTCAAAAATTCAGCTGTCATCCAGATAATTTATTCTTATGATCCTTATAATTATCTGCGAAGATATTTGTCCGCGAAATATTATTTTAACTATCATTTGAAATGGATGCAAAAACATGTATCAATATCTGCGGATCAGTAATTAATTTAGCGTTTATCTCAATATGACAAATCTTTCAGTAGATGAAATATTTTTTCTTTAATTTGAAATTTCAAATATTTTTCAAATGTGTAGATTTGTATGAAAAATCTTGGCCTTGATTGTAATGATTACAGTTTTTCTGCTTACAGCTTCCTTATCGTGAGCAAAGCATAAATTTATTTTTATATTTTATCCTGTTATTTCTAAAGTGACGATAAATCACAATGACAGCATTATCAAAGCAATAAATCTTCCTCCTCGATAAAAATTTAATAGAAAATTCGATACACTCGCTGCAATAAACTCGAACATACTCGCATTAAAGACAATTTAAAGGCAGAACACAGCACGGTGAAAATAGGTGCAATTTAGCAGCGCGCGATTCGATGGTAAAACTCTTCAATGGTGTAATTAGCTTCTCCTTCAGACAGATACAACAATATATTGCAATGAAATTTCCAGCCTCGTGCTCACCGCGTAAGATCAATAAAATTCTTTTGCAATTCAGATCAGGAGCGCGTCCAAGGCAAAGGATTTCACGCTCTCACGATGGTAATCTCAATTATTATTACGTTTCTTCCTGGTGTGAGTCGGTTTCTTCTGGACACGCCTCGTTCATTACGCACCGAGCCGATCAGCATAATAATCGAACCGAACAGCGACGTCGCGTCGTCGTCGCGGCACTTATGGCACGCAGACCGGTAGATCGCAATTTCCCAAGGATCTTGTTTTCTCTGTTAATTCATACAGGTCGCGAGGATCAGCGCGAAACAGTTTCGAAATAGATCACGCGTCCAAACGTTACCGTGAGAATATCGAAGTTACCGAGGCGTTCAGGTAGATTTGTCATCGATGGCCAAGGCTGCAGGTATCCTTAGCGCGATGATAGTTGCAAGATGAAGCACGTAACCACATCCTTGGAGTATGGCCACGTAATCCGTGCACCACTGTGACTTATTTAATGACTCACAACTCGGACTAGGCGGGTCACGATGATTTCTGCACGCGTATCTGTATGTTTATCTAACTAAGTTGTGTTTCATTCAAAGATGCCTGATGACGGCCTCAATCACAGAGTCCTGTGACATTGGGATGAACAGTAAATCGCAAAGATTAATGAATTGTTAGTTGGTTATTGGATAATCGAGAATTACTAGAATATATTGCACATGAGATCTTTTTCGTATCGTCGCAAGGGAAGAAGATGTTTAGGTTGTTATATATTTATAAACCACTGCGCACATCAATTAAATAATACTTAATGTGTAATTACACATTTTTAATAACTGCGATTTTCTTGAAACCTAGCAACATAATCAAACTGTCATGCAATCGTATTCTGGCATCTTTTAGCAGAGAGGGTGAAAAATACCCTCAAGAAAATAACGTATGGTTTCGAAGGACTTTTCACATTTTGAAAATTGTGACAGTGGTATAAAAATTCTTCCAATAAACAATTCTACAAAATATACTTTAAATAATTATCATGCAAAACATTTTTCTATTTAGACTTTATTCTAATCTTTATTCTAGAAACAATTGTTTTCGTATCTTTATATTACAATCTTATGATAAATCAGTTTAGATAAATGTAAGTTAAAGCTACTTACTTAAAACCTTAAAAAAAAATTTATTTCGAAATAACAATATCTTAGTCTTGAGTATAAAAGAAATTTGCATTTTTTGTTTCGCCACATTTCGTGATTCACTTTTAGAAAAGAAATCACAATCGTGTAAACGGAAGAAGCCTCGGATCAAATGATTGTTCTTTCGGTACACTTGAATATCCCCTTTCTTTCATTCAAGGAATTGTTCTTCCTTGGACTCGGTGTTATTCTTTTCGGCATTGTTGGCGCTTTGTCAATGGCTTCCATTGAGAACGTTCCCGATGATTTGGTAGACAACGCCGCGGTGTTCGGAGCATTGTGTTTACTGACGGCTCTGGTGTTCATCGCTGATTTGCTGATGGGTTCCCCGAAGAAGAAAATTAGTCCAGCCATGGCAGAATTGTCTAGTAAAAAAGGTACTTCGTCCGTGAAATAATAGAACAAGGTTTTGTGTTTTCTTCTAGTACACAAATCTCAGTTTGTGTATTCGGAAAAGCAAACTATGGATTTCAAACAGCAATTTCATTGTTAGAAATTGTAAAAGTGTATTCATCAAATGTTTAAAATCTCGAAACAGCTCAACCAGTTGAAAGTAATGTAAAATAACAGATTGTACGAATCTACAAAATCGTGGAAAATGAAAATCATTAATAAAAACTCGTTTACTTATAAATTCCAAGTGAGGATTCAAAATAAAAGAGTTTTGCTATCTAAAATACTTTATTTACCGGAAGACTATATTAATAGAGTTTTCACTGACTGAATTGTGTCTAAGGGAAGCTCAATAATTTTCTTTCAAATACTAATCTCGAACGAACTTACTAGATTAATCTAAATAATTTGATAGATTATAGATGAGATTATCGTAGTTTTTGAATAATCTTTCAAGGAATTATTAACAGCTAGTTTTCGATTTTAGAAAAACTATTAGAAAACCTGCGGATAATGTGTGAAAATTCTAAAGTGGAATTCACAGCTCCAGAATTTTAAATATAGCAACATTGTTTTAATCCAGATTTTATTTGTTTTTATCCAAAGCCCAAAATAACAAAGAAAATTGGATAGTCAATCCGAAATATTTTTTTCATCTTCTAACATTTATTCTTCTATTTGACGACACCGCAGCCAAACACTTGGCGGCCCTAACGACCGAAAAAGAATCGACGCCGGCAAAATCGTCTTCCAAAGCTGCCAAAAGCGACGACGGCACCGTGAACGACGGGTTCGACAAAGCTGAAGAGCGACATCAGAAAAGCTCCCCCGACGAAATCTCGGAGGATCCTCGAAGATGGGAACAAGATCGTCCAACGAGCCAGACCTTCAAAATGATGCCCAGGGACGTGGAAAATGGACAGGCGATTCGCGACGAGTCCGAACGACGAGAGTACACGCAGAACTTCGAGAACGGTAGAGCTCTCAGAGATTCGGCGAGACTTCGAAGCTCTGAGATGCAGAAGAATGGCATCAGGGACTCGTACAAGTCGGACCACAGACTCGACATGCCTAAGATCGTGTACAAGGTTCAGGATATTTATCAGCGACCGGTGGACGAAGTGGACACGCCCCGTTTTCCAATGGAAATGGACGCCAGAGGTGGAACCATGTTCGCCAAGGTTGTTAATCCAGGTGTGAAGATTATGAAGGTGGAGCACGACGTCGACGAGGCCTTCGAGTCTTACAGGTAGATTTGATCATTACATAAAACGGCATACTCGGAACGGCTATTACTTGACCATTTTAATGCGAACGTAGAACGTTTATCTTGTATTGTTGTAGTAATTAGAAATATTGTTAGAACAAGTCATTATGTATCGTGATGAATAAAGAATTAAAAATGAATTGGCTGGTGGATGCACGTTTTTGATGGTGACTTTTAATGATCGGCATAATGCTGAATAAATTGTGTGAAGGGGTATCATCTGAAAAATGAATTGTTAGAGAAAATTAAAATTGTTAAGGGGAATAATATATTTTTACTTAATCCCAGCAACTCGTAATTGAGACAAACAATTATTAATTTGCGTAAAGATCTTCGAAATATAACAGTGATAAAATGTAATTATTTAATGAAGCTTATACTATAAATAAACGACAGAAGTTACTTTTTACGGATGTGTTTTTTCACACGAAGTAACTTGGAAAGTATCGAAAAATTCCCTTATCTTCTCAACAGGTATTCAGATACCAGCCAATACGACAACGTGCCAATTCGCATGCGAGGAACATCATCGTCCAATCAAAAGAAGAATCGCGACGTCACCTTCAACGTTCCGTCGCCGCCGAAAGGGTATGGAAAGGCGTACGATAGATCAAAGGACGAAATGGAAATGCTGGAAGAGTGCTTCGGCTCCCTCCGAACGGCCAGCACAAGTACTCAAACACCCGGGGCAGCTCGAACACCCTCGTCACCCACTGATCCTGGTTACGTTCGACACACTGCCAGCAATTGGCCTCAGGAAACAAAAACGAGAACACCCGGTGGCAGCCCCGTTCATGCCAAGAATTAATAATCACCGGACTGCGAATTTGATGTTTTCATTACAAAAATGAATAGCTGAAATGTAAGATCAATTTAATAATATTGTTGCACTGTTTTCAAATTATCGATATTCTTGACAGAAACAATTTAGTTATATTTAATTATTGCTTCTTGCAATCGTCTTGGAAAATTTTTATTATGTACGAAGATCCGCGGTTTAATCATCACACGCCTGCCAGCATAACTATTTATTTGTGACAGTGAATCATTTTTTGTTTTAGATAGTTTAAGCGGCACGAAAAATGTATTTTTACAATTTTTTTTGACTTGAGACTCGAGAAGAACTTCTCTTAGGTTTCTTAGGTTTAAGTGTACAGGATTTAGCGATCAATTTTGCGACATTATACTTTGGTTTGATAGACAAAGATTTTGAGACGAGTAGATTTTTTTAGCTCTTTTTTCTGGAAATTAAGTCATTTTTATTGAGGGTTTTAAGGATTTCCTTTTTTAATTATTTAATGTTGCGTTTAGGAGATTTATACAGTCCATAAATGAGTGTTTCCAGTCTGCCGTTGTGTCCGAAATAGTTCAGTTATCATTGATGTTGTTCATTTTGTTAATATATTGAAATATATTTTATCTTCGACTCTTGAACGTTTAAGAATATTGCATATGTCTTTTCACTGAGAACAAAGTAATGGCTTTATCGTATTTATTGTGCAGATTGTATTTAAGACTATCTTTTTATGATTTATTGTTTTGTAATGATCATTATTTTTATTCACTGCCCCCGGATACCAATAAATATATACATAATTCCGGTTTTGTCATTTATCGTTTGGTTAAACAGTACATTCTATCCTGACATAATAAAAAATGTCACCTTCGTCTAATTACTTAACAAAATCCTGTACTCTCCAGATAATTAAACATTTCTAAACTCTAATTTGATAAAAGTAACAATTCAAACTGTCTCGATTTTTGCGCAGCGATAAACTCTCCAAGCTGAGAAATCAATTACAGAATTCGTCTCGTTAAACAAAGGAAGGGGGGATGTCATTGAAACTCCACAGGGCTTCGTATATGTAGAAATTTTAATATAAAGTTTAACACCTCCGTTCGCATCGATACGCAATACGTACAGTTATTAATAATAATGTCTCCTTAAGATAACATGTAACCGCAACTTGTTAGTCTCCTTCAAAAACTGTACTCGTTAAACATTAGTCTTCAAACGGATTTACATTAAGTATAATCATTCGTGTACCGTATTGTTTCTTTTTCTTACGTTTCATATAAATAAATCAACTCTACATCGAGGCTCCGTTGCAACATTTGACCAACGTGACCGCTAATTAATTAACTGATCAATTAATCCGGTCGAAATTCACCGTCACGATCGAGAAGAAAAAGAAATCAATCGGAGGGCGCAACGTCGGCCGAGGGTGTCGACGCGTCCTGCTCTGTTTTCTCGCGAACAAACCGCAAAAACGTTATGCCAACGTTTTCTCCGTTTCGCAGGCAGGACCGTCGATCTCTCCTTCGATCGCGATCAGATTCTCCCGTCTAAAACGTTTACTAAACGCGTATTTACAGAGCCGAGAATAATTGCTTAGATACTTGAGCATTCGTTCTTCTTCTCCTACCGTCTTCGGTGCGTCAACGTTCACCTTGTTACGTACACAGGTTGGCTCGCGTTGCCGAAGAAGATGGTTCCCGTCTCGGAAACCGATTCCGGCGTAACTAGATCGTCTTATTCTATGATAACATTTAAAACGGTCCGTTGATCTCGGTTGTCTTATCCGTCGATACATTTGTGTCGATGGATCGGTTGATTATTCGATCGTGCATTATCATTTCAAATAATAATTAATGTATCAACGTCGACAAAAGCATTCTCATAATGAGAGAGAAGTATATGGGACTTTCAGACATATATTTTCAATGACAGTTGTGAGTTGCTCTTCTTCCCTGCTCGTGGCAAATCTCGCGTTCTTCGTTTTTTGCTACAGAGACTCTCTAAACATATTTACAAATCCGAAAACTTTCAACGTCCGAATGGCTCTCCATCTCATTTTTACAATACCTGCCTTCGATAATAAATAAATAACAAAAGAGCAAAACGCGAAATTTGAGGTCTTCGTGAACCACGATCAATCATTCTTGAACACAATGTTGACTTGGCTTGCTATTGATTGTTTCCTGCTCCCTTGCAGATTTGGAGAGTTGTTTTCTCGTTTCTGCGAAAGATTAATTAGGAGCGAGAAGCATAGAGTGTCTTGTTAATTATCGATTCATGGTGTTTAGTTCACTCTAATGTTCTAAGATTAGAGTTTTCTTGGTTATTTCTTTCTTTGCTTCGTTTCCACCCTTTTCCTCCCTTTGAACAGATATGTACAACACACAATTGATGATCAATTAATCAATCAGGAGGAAAATTCGAGGGCCTTATCTCATTCCAAACCCGATCCCAGTTGCCTGATTGTTGGTCGCCCTTTGTTCCATGGTAATGTATTGTCTAATCAGCCGAGAGATCTCGTGGGCTTGCTCTGTTTGCAGCCTGGTGATTCGTTGCTGCATCAGATTGCCACATTTCATGTCCAAATAGAGGGTTCCTTCCTCAGATTTCACCTTCCTGGTGGAGATTACTTCAGAATAGGGATAGTGATGCAGCGTCTCCTGCAAATTATTTTCATCATTTAATCTTTAACATTGAAATACTTAATGTTATACATTCAGGAAAAAAACAGAAATTGATGTTTAATGTGAATGATTTAATTTTGTGAGAATGACATTGGAAATGAGAATTAAAAACTATGTGCACTTTGAAATATTCAATATTGAATATTGAGAACGAGAATAATAATTAATCTTTAATGTGAATGATTTAATTTTATGAGAATAATATCTAATATTGAAAATAAGAATTAAAAGCTAGTTGTACTTTAATGTTCAAAAACGAAAGAAAATTATTTTTTCAATACACATTTCCTCCTTACATTTTTTACCTATTTATCAACTTTTCTATCTCGTTTACATAATTACCACATTTATATATCTTCTCTAACGTGCTATTCAAAATAAAATGTTACTTTCTTAATTTCTAACTGTACATACAAAATAAAAATTATATCACATTTAGGAATTACTGCGTAAAAAAATTGACGATATAACTATCTCTCACAGAGTTTACATTCAATAATAATATTATATCATTATTCAACACGAGTCCAATAATTAAAGCAAAGCATCAGGAAGCTCGATAACATGCGGTAGAAAATTATGGCAACGATGCTGCATTACATCTAATGAAAAGCTGAGAGTAATTTGAAGAAAGTGAAGTTGAAAGTCGAGCAGATAATATTTCCACAGTGTTGGGTTTCTTACGTGTGTGATTAAATCAATGAAATGCACGCCGTGTCTATTGAGCGCCAGAATGTGATCGCCGCCCTTCTCTTTCCCTTCGGGCACCCTTTTCACGGCGAAGAAACTGGATCCGAACAGCGGCCACTTCCACAAAATTTCTGTAACGTGAACGACAATATTGTTAGCCTTTCTATCCTCTGGTTTTATTAAACAACGACATACGATACTAGGGAATCGACTTTCTCGATCTCGTACGAATCTGCTGCGATTAGTATTTCTCATTTCAGTCAATAATCTTGTATTATGTAACATATTCTATCTTTCTGCAGGAAAATGTAAGAGTTAAAATTTCTGGGTGAAAAAGATCACTATGAGACTGGGGATGTTTGAGAAAACTTTAATTTTCTAAAAATATTTGTTAAAAATATTTTATAAAAATCTGGTGAAAAGAAAAATGCGTTACATCAAGTAGAAAATTATTTGTGGTCTGCACAGAGTAGTAGTGCAATTAATTTTGTGCATAAAGATTAGCAGATTCAGAGAGAGAGAGAGAGAGAGAGAGAGAGAGAGAGAGAGAGAGAGAGAGAGAGACTTAATTTAGAAACTAACGTGCACAGAGAAACGTTTATTATCGTAGAAACAATGAATCATCTTTAGACTGAATAAATTGAAGACAGACATATCAGTGCTTTAGAAATCGTCGTACGTTCTGTTTTGGCGAAGCAACGCTCGAATATCAAATAATTGGCAGCTGATTCATGAAATGATCCGATTACATTACTCACCGAGAACTTGCGCCTTACAGGCGGCAACCGTGTTATGTTGCACATTGTTCCACGCTTGCTGAACCATGTTCGACCATTGTTGCGGTCGTGGCTCTCTCAAACTGAGCACCGGCTTTGGCAACAAGTATTTGATTTCTTTCGTGGTCGGCTCGTGCGTCATGTCTGCTGCTCTGTGCAGCAGGGCTGCTATTTGTGCCATGTCGTACTGGATCAAGGAAAAACGTATCACTGTAACTTCGTTTGACAAACAAATCGTCCGACGATAAATTCATGGGAATATTTGATAATTTTCATTCGTTATTTACGTTAATTTTTTCCATTGTAATAACTAGGAATTATTTACTGCAAGCAATCCATATTTAATATTATATATTATTATATATAATTATATATATTATATATTATTATATATAATTATATATATTATATATTATTATATATAATTATATATATATTATATATTATTATATATAATTATATATATATTATATATTATATGCTACTGCATATAATCTTCTACAGAAGAAAAATACTAGACGATTATATTTTTGACTTTGTTAGTTACTTAACTATTTTACGGAGATTCTTTTAAAAAATTGTTACCAGGAAAATTCAGTTATAGGTTATTCAGTCATTTTAAAATATTCAAGATGGATCTGCATAAATAGTAGATGGACCGAAGTTAATTGGCATGAATACATACGACGACTTCTTGAGGTAAATGGTCGCCAGGCAGAACTAGAAGAAGACCCTCCAGATAATCCGGAGCGATTTGGTTGAAAACAACTTCTATGTACAGTGGTGCGTCCAATCTGAGAGGGTAGTACCAGACGGATCTAGATTTCCAAAAACAAATTACACAAATGAACAAAACGTTTTCGGAGTAAAAATAAAAATATTAAAGATCCTTATGAAATTAATTTACATATTAGATCCTGTTTTAGATTGTGATTAGATACCTGCAGAATATTAAATAGAATACTTGATGATTCTTGTGGAGCTCGGTCGTTACATCCAGCACGTATTCGTCTCTGGCTAAGGGCATGGTGAATGCGTCGCCATCAACGATGCAGTACAACGAGAATTCGTCCATTTCGTGGGGATGTCTCACGGATATTATGTTACACATTTCTTCGATGACATCCTTGCGGAAAAGGAAGAGAAACTTAATCATTATCGGTGCTATTGTATGACCTTATTTTTCCTGAATATTTATTATATTTGAAACGATTAATACTATGTTGGGAAAATAATTCTTTTACAGTATATCAACTTTGTTTATCAATAAAATAGTAACTAATTTGTAGACTGCAGGTTGTTGTGTAAAATCAAGATATTCTTATTCAATTGCGATGAACGAGATCTAAATAAAAATTTCTGCCTTTTTAAAATGATTTTACTGAGTTCAAAATAATACATAGATATAAAATTTTTAATTGTTTAAATTCTTCCAATGTTTTATATTTTGTCTACTCATTTTTGTGATAAACCTAAAATGTGAAAATTATGAAACAGCAAAAATTTCAGAAGAATACCCGGACAATTTTTGTTTCATTTCTGAATCAATATTTCTCGCATAAAAAATTAATTCTCAATTCCCTCGCGCACCTTGCAATTGCCCCAGAAAATATTTCATTGGTATAAATATTATTTTGCAGTCTACTACACATTTACTATTACAAGCACGTCATGTTGTTACTTATAGACTGCGGATTTTTATGAAAATTAAAAATGTGTTCCTTCGTTTAACAGTTCTATCAAAAGCTGGTCTATATTTTGATTACTCATTTTTGCCATAAATGCATAAAATCCGCAGTCGACTTATGAAGAATAGAGATGGTTTACGATCCAATATCGAGGCTTACCTGTACAACCGTCGTGCACTTGGTATTGATGACCCTCTCGGTACCACCTGGCAATCTATAGATCTGCCTCTTCGCGTTTCTACCCGCGCTGATCGCCATGATTTCGTCGACGCTCGGTACATTCTTCCTTCCTCCGTACTTAACAGTCTTCCTAAGATTCTGTAAACACACCGTTGCGGTGCCATGATAGGCTCTCCTTTTGTCGTACGCCGCCGTTTCCAGGTATTTGGTCAAGTAAGGCCTCAAGCCGTCGCTGCAGGTGAAATAGGCAGCGACGATACTGAAGATCCTCCAACCGCGCTGACAACTGTCCGGGTTCGGGCTTTTGTTGTTTGTCGTCTGCTTCATCAGCTGGCAATAGACCTCGTCACGGAGTTGCTCGTATTTGTGGCAGTGCTGCAACATATTATTTCGATGCACGTTACACATTTATGGTACTACAAAATAAATGTATATCTCTGTTATTTTCACTTCGTACTGCTTATTAATTTGACATATTAATATTTTTCAAAATGGCCAGTTTCAAATGCTTTTATTATTATCAAATACTTTTATTATTCGTCATCGGCAAAAATGAAATAATAAAATAATGAAATAAAATAATAATATAATAAAAATAAATGAAATAATAAAATCACACCGATGTATAAACAGATGGACAATTTTTTAGACATATAGAAACAAAAGCTTTCCAAGTTTTTATTGCATAGAAGCAGATGCACTGACAAGTAGCACAGTAGTGCCCAGTATTTTTATACCTCCATTTCTACGAGGTAAAGAAAAGTATAGCAAAAGTTTCGATAGGATTGCAACATCTAGTTCTTCGGTCTAAGTTCCTGTTTACGCGGTGAGAATGGTATCATTTGGTGTCAAGTAACCGCTTTGATTGCCGCGGACCTATCAGCAAAGAAGAAGAGAAAGCTGGTTTCACTCTCGGTAATTGTTTGAGGAATTAACGCCTGGCAAGTAAACGCAGCCGCCGGGATGTTGATCTTTTTGTGCACTGGTCGACGGATTGCTTCGGACGGATCAAAGAACGAAGTAAAAAGTATAGTGACACACATTGTATTGGCACATATTTTCAACGGTATAACTTTTCCTAGAACTGGAGTAAATGACCTAAATTTTTTGGCAACGTCGGAGGAATTAGTTTCCTCTACGATGATTAAAATACATTTTTTTATTCTGCTATTTTACTTGAAATTATAAAAAAAAGAAAATAAAGAAGCTAACGTTTTCAACGTTTTTATCTGTGCTTGTAGCGAAATTTTGAGTAATGAATTTTGTAGGTCTCGTTTTTTTTTGTGAGTTACTGTACGCGCACTTAGACATCCACGCGAGTTCTTCAGCTAATATTCGAAACTTAGCCGTTCTCTTATTGTGTGATAATTGTGGGACATTTCCTAGATGATCACCCAAAGAGAGACTGGATAAACTGACAAGCCTGAAGTTAGGTTTCCTTTTTGTAGTAGTGAAAAGAACCTCGATTTAGTCAAAGAGATCTCCGCGCGTCATTTAGGACGTGATCGATGGACTTTCTTCAGAGAAAATCGGGTCTGATGAGATAATTCAAGGGAAATCACGGACCTCCGTTACCACATGCGGACTGTTACCCTACGTTGTGCTACTATTCGCTGTCCTATATTAAACTCTTCTTCGGCACTTTTCATTATACTAATCTATCCGCGAAGCTGAACGGTACGCAGAGCTTTCTAAGTGTCGATTACACTAATAACATATTTTTACGCTGCTGGAAACTTACTGAAAGTTTTAAAATGCTACTAATTATTGTAATAACGTACAATCTTTCTGATCCAGATATGATGGACAAGACCGCGACTATGTTTCTCCTTTCAACGTTTCTGGTCCTCCAAACGACACGAATTCGAACCGTTTACTATGAAATTGCGAATTGTTGTACATTGACAACAGGAACAATACACGAACTGCAATTATCCAGGGATGAATTGAATTAATAACGGATCCTGCTTTTCTGCAGTCGGTACAGAGAATTGTCTAAATCATTAGTAGACTGCGGATATTTATGCAAAATAATAATTGTTCGCATGTAATACAACATATAGGAGCCAAGCACGATTACGTTTTCCTTAAATAATCTTAATAAGTTTGAGATTAAAACATCAACATTTTTAGTTTCCTTAAATCTTTTCACTGCTTTTTTCACTCGCCAATTTTTACCATAAATGCATAAAATCTAGTTGTCATTGTTCAAATAAATAATTGCAAACAAATTGCTTAAACTACGAAGTGTCGCACAGGAGTTTACATCATGAAAGACCCTAGGGTGTAATTGGAGGGTTAAGTATCTAGGATCCAAGCCTTGAACTTTTCTAATTGTGATCAGAGAAGACTAAACGAACCGGTTAACTTAAAATCACTTGAGAACTGTAACAACAATATAACCTTGACATAACTTCGCTGTCGCACAAAAAGGAAGTACACTCACCATCAGAATCGTATAAACGCACTTGACCTCGCTGGTGTCCGGTGGCAAAGGTTGGTCGCCCATGTACCTCATCAAGCAAAGGAAGCATTCGACGGCTAGACCACTCAGATCGGCGTCCAGCCTGAGTAGACTCTGCTCTATTGGCACAGGGGAGTACTTGACGAGGTCCACCTGTTCCTTCCAGGTCCATTCCGCGCCATCTTGTTGACCTTTACTCTTCTTGCTCTTCTTTTTGCTCTTGAGCGACTCGATGACTTTCAGGGAGCCGCTTATGGAGCCATCCGCGGTCTTCATCATCTCGAATCTACGGAGTAGAATACACAAATGAACACTATCGTTTGTTCGACATTTTTCTAAAGGTGTTACGGCTGTTGCGGGACGCGAGCCGCGCAAGAAGACTGCTCGGATCAATTTAATGAAGGAACGGGACTCCCAGGCGACGCGAGTAATAGCCTTCCAAAATGGAAAACCACTTGGCGACGGTGCACCGGCCCGTAAACGGATTTTCCATCGCTGGACGTTGTTACCGAGGGGGAAAAAGTCCCGTTCAGAGTACTGAATGGGTGGTCGTCGCTTGTCAAAGTCGTGTTTAGGATATCGGTACTCTAGTTAGGTGTTTTAATGATCCCTCTTTAACGCTGCTCCTAGCATCCTGCACGTTCGTTATTCTTTTTACGCCGGTTCCACCTGTGCCCGATTTATTGCTATGCTTGAAATCTATTTTTGTATCTCTGGAACCGGATCGTCGTTAAGCATTCTCACGATTTCTTCGATCGTCTGCCACCTGCCGTCAGAATTGTTCGATCACACGAAACAGAGAATTGTCATCGCGATTACAAAACTGCTGATTTTTATGCCAAGTAAAAATTGTCCGAGTTGATCGTAAAAAGTATGAGCTGCATAAAAATGTCTGTTTTTATTCGATGATAAATTGAAGAAAATGCAACAAAATCCGCAGTCCAGTAATTATTCATACTTACGACTATTTTCTAAGTAATTACTGTCTCTAAGTAATTGCTCATATTTATAATGTGGAAAATGTGCATTTCTCCATAATTTACATAATAATAGAGTTGAACACTGTTTTCAGAACATTCCCTCGGCAACGTTTATCTTCGTCGTTGGATTTATTAAAAATTCTTCGAATATTTTCTCGCACTGTTTCAATGTTTTAGATGAACAGTTTATTATTGTATATTTGGTAGAAAGACAAAAATTCGTTCGACAGTCACGTTCACAATACCGACCGAATATTTTCCCCCGTCAACAGCGATTTACTTCCATGGAACGACACTCGTGTACCTTTACATTCAATAAGACTTCACGGTCGTTCATTTTCGAACATAGTTATTGTATTATATTATTAAGGCAGCAGAAGTAGAACAGAACTTTCCAACTTTAACGTGCATGCTGAGCCAAGAAGGTAATGGAACTGACTATGTGAGCGCGCGAGCAGGCGATGTTACTTTACCACGCATTGAAATTACCAGAGCGGTGCTTGTATTCATGTAATTTTCGCGACTCTTTCACAGAAAACGCGACCGCTACACTAATTCCCTCTGCGAAACCAACCATAATTTCCTTCGTAATGGAAATATTAACAAAATTATTTTAATTCGTCGTACCAGTTTTAACATTACCCTAACTCCGAAAAATTAAATTCAGTCACTTAAGTGAGACAGCATCATGTTTACAGCTTACATTTTTCATGATTTTCTGCTGACATATTAATATATCCAACAAATCATAATCGCCATTATCATAATTAATCCCCCGCCATATTGTCTTTACAACCATATTACTTAGAATTAATTGACAGAAAAAGAAAGATAATATTTCATGTCGACATCAGCTTCGATGATAAAAATAAAATTGCATTCCCGTGTGAAAAATGTTATTTATGTCTAGCAGGCTTTGTTTAGCCCTTTGCATCCGAGCGACGATTCTATGGCGTCATTAAAAATTGTTACATCACATTTCAACATAATTTTAACGTTATCAAATTTGTCTACAATTAGAAAACTGTTGCAAAATTCAATTTAACTCTAAATATTGTATAAAATGTAATTACCATAGGTCAAGAAAACTATTTTGGATTTAGAGTTATAATGGCTGCAGCTATAATTACGAGTTCGACTCGCCAACGTAACTTGTTATATGTTCGAAAGAAGAAATTGTTAACTAGCAACGATATAGACACTTTCTCAAATAATACCAGACCAGCCACGTTGATGATAAAAGATTTCGATTCAACGTGACCCAATTGTTCCCCCGATGCACTGAAAAAGAGGCACACGGAACGCTGGCGGTAACTTTGTCTCACTTTTATGAATGAACTCCACTTCGATAGATCGATTCCCGGCAATCGCAACGGTGCAGAGCTTCGAAAGGATAACTCGCGGAAGGATGCCAAAAGAAGACGAGGAGTACTGGTTCAGCCTTGCGCTCGCCGAGATGGTCGATGCTACTATGAGAACTGCAGTGCGTTATGCTTTCTCGACACGGCTGTCTCGCCTTTCTTGCGTAAGAGCGGCCAATTAGTCTTTAACATTAATTTCCCTTTTATTACCGTATCTCGGTTCGGCATAGGTGTTTCGGTTTAAGGACTCTGCGTCGAGAGAGATCTCGCGTTATGGTACACCGTGATTTTGAATACTCACATATCCGTGTCTAGAGTGTACAGCGTGCAACAGACGAGGGAATAAACGAGTTAAAGACAAGTGTATTGAAACCTATGATTAAATATGTTCACCTGTTCACCGTTCGTTCAATGAGTAATTCGATGAATCATTTATGAGCTCCACATTGTGTCTATGAATGAGTCGAGATTAACGAGGATTGCTTTGAAGAAATATTGTATCCGAGTCAGTTTTACTGAACTTGGTGTAAAAGCGTAACTCTGCGATGATTTGGTTACAGGAATAACAATTTGAAATTGTTATCTAATAGCTTACTCGTTAGCTTCTCTGAAAACATTTTATACTAATTCAAAATTCTTAAACTAGCTGAACTAATTCTTAGAGTAGCTTGTTACATTTATTAATAATTAATTACTAATGTACTGAATGTGATAAAAATTATGATCCATA